TTCTAAAATCAAATAATGTACACCTGTTTTTTGATTAGGGCTGTCGAGCGGATTTTGGTAGCGGACTTTGGTGAGCGATATTTGAATTCCTTGCGCTTTAATAATTATAAGACCAAATTTCAAAATTCTTAAAAATTCGGAAAGCGCAGACTGCGCTCCAAAATATAAATTTTAAAATCTCAAAAAGTTAATAGAAAATAAAAAAGTTTTCTATATGTTAATAATATACACCTATTTTTTTGATAATTGCGGACGCTAATTTGTTTATCTACTATCTATCGATTAGCTAGTCTTTCTATATCTAAAATATATTAAATATAATCTTACTATTCTATATATAAGCCGATATAATATTATCTCGCTATTCGTATATAGTATTACTTCGCTATTCTCCTTTTATAACTTATTTAGTCTACTTATCTTATTATCTTTTTTATATAATATCTAGTTATTAAGATAGCTACTATAGCGGTTATAAAGCTTATAATATAAAGGTAGATATAGAGATAATTATAGATATACGCCCTAATTCTTATCTATAGACTTTAATATTAAAGAATATATTTACTCTATTCTTCTTCTCTTATTATTTTATTTAACTCGCTATAATTACTAGTTATTATTATTACTATATATACTTAAATCGAGAGAGCTTACATTAGATAAAGTCCTCGAAGACTTTCTTATAAATACGCTTCTTCTTCTTATTCTTAACTCTTATTAATTAATCTTTAAGCTAACTTATAGCTAATTTATTAATATATAAAAGCGCGTTTATAGTATTATCCTCCTTCTCCTTATCGTTCTCCTCCTTATTATCTTCCTTCTTATTATCTTTATCTTTACTTTTATAATAACGCGTATTAATAAACTTATTAACTCGCTAGTAAGAGTAGATATCTTCGAGTAATAATATCTTAATTCTCTTTAATATATAATATTTCATAACGTAAATATATAATAGTCTTATTATTATAGTAAAGTACTTAATATATAGCTCTATAATATAATTAATTACTTTATTATAATAAGATATTATTTTTATAAAAGCGAATAATAAAACTTTAATATATAGATCTTAAAAAATAAACTTCTTAATATAAATAGAAAGCCGTATTTAAGTTTTACTAAGTGCGATATTATAATTTAAATATTTATTTATAAATATTAAATTAATAGCGTCTATAATAGTCTTTAAGTTATCTATAATATTTTTTAATTAATTTATTATTCTATTATATAGAGTAAGAGTAATTTTATTAATAGATAAACTATATAGTTATCTCTTAAGCTTATTATTATTTAACTCCTCTCGCGAAATAACTCGATTATTAAAATATAAATATTAATTAATTTAAAAGATTACTTACTTCTTCTTTTAAGAAATTAAATTATTCGCGATATAAATAATTACGAATAGATAATACTCGATATAATTCTTCTATAAGATATTTTATTTTTATTTAAATAACTTCTTAATAACTATATATATAATATAACGAAAATTCTTTTCAAAGATATTTAGTTTCTCTTATTTATTAAAGTACTAATTATAATTCAATATAATATTATTCTTAATATATTAAATATAAAGTATATATTTAGTCTTTAAAGAGACGAGTTTATAGACTCTAATTAAAGCGTTTTACGCGTTCGTTAGAAGTATATCTAAATAAGAAAAATTAAGCTTATTATATAGAGCTTTAAATTATTTTATTATCTAGTATATTTCGATTTTATAAAAACGAATCTTATATAAAAGGATATATTAAAGGCGATGATTTCGGTAATTATAAAAAGTAAAAGCTTATATTTATTAGTTCTATATATCGCGTCTAAAATTAATATCTCTAAATTAAATTATAATATTCGTTATAATAATTTTCTAGCGAAGAAGAGAGATTTAATCTACTACGTTCGCTAATTCTTCTTTATATATATAAATTAATTCTCTTATATATATAGTTATCGTATTAAAATCTATATAAAAATTAAAGATCTAAGTATCTCATTTTTAATTTTAATTTTAATATTATAGATATCGCGTAATTTTAAAATAAGATCTTTCTTATCTTAGTTAAGTTATAAAGATAAAATAATCTATTTTAATAGAGTTCTAGAATATATCTAATTAATAATAATATTCTAAATATTTTAAATTATAGCGATTTTATATATTATTAAATATATTTTAAATAAGATATAATTATAATTATAAGTGAGATTAATAATTATAAGAGTAAAATTCGTTTAAATATTATCTATTCTAATATATTACGTAATAATCTAAAATAAATAATTTACTAATCGATTAGATTTAATACACTTATCTATACTCTTATTATTCTTTTCTAACTTTTCGCTATAATTATATCGTAGCTATATCTTTCTAATAAGTCTATTTTTAAAAGTAACTATACACCCCTTAAGAATAATATATTCTTAAGATTCTATATACTATTATATATATAGAATAAATATATTACAAAGATATTTATCTAGTTATTAGAAGATAAAGCTAGAATTATTATTATTAAGCGAAAGATATAGATAAGCGATAGAGTAAGAGTTAATTTTACTATTATAAGATATTCTACTATAAAGATATTTAACTTAAAAATACTAGATATAGATTTTTTATTATTTTCGATTAGATTTTATTAGCTTTCGCGTAATCGCTAATTAAATTAGAGAGGCTATACGTTTAGTAGATAGGGGCTATACGCCTAGTAAATAGAGACTATACGCTTAGTAAGTAGAGGTTATAGCGTAGCCGCTATCTATTAATATTCTATCTTTTCTTATAAATAAGAGATTTTACTCTTAAATAAGTTTTAGTCTAAATATTATTAATTATAAGATTACTTATAAGCGTTTTAATACTACTTAAATAGAGAATATTACGAATTATATAAAATAGAATTTTAAATATATTAGAAGTAATATAAATTATATTTAAAAGGTTATAATTATATAAGTTAATAAGTATTAAAGTAATAAAAGCTTATCTTTTAGATAAACGATAAGATCTTTTTAAGTAGTAAGAATATTACCTTTAATCGCTCTTTCTATAAATTAAATTATAAAAGACTTAGTCTATTTAAGATTATAGATCTTATAAGAATCTTATATCGTTTAGAACTTCTATCAAGTATAAGAATTTACGACGTCTTTTATCTTAATCTCTTAAGTCTCGCGATAAATAACCTCTTATTAGAATAGATAAATCCTTCGCCGAAATATATCATTATTAATAATTAAATTAAATAAATTATTAAAGAAATATTTATTTTTAAGTTAATTAATAGTTATCTTAAGTATAAAGTTAAGTAAAAAGATTTCGATAATAATCTTATCTAATATAATATAAACGGCGATAAGTTTAAGAATTACTAAGACTTAGCGAACGACTTTTATAAGAGATATTTCGAAATATCTTATTTTTAAGAAATTAATTAATAGAATAAGAGTCTTTAATAGCAAAAAATTTCTTAGACTAGAACTATCTCGAATATCTTATTTTTAATTAAATTGAAATCGGTCGATATCTTCGCTATAGCCTTATTTTTTCATATTTATAAAGACTTATATTATTTAATAATAACTTTATATTAAGCTTATTAAGTAAGCTTTTTTTATTAATAAATATTTAAGCGTCTTTCGAAGCTATAGTATATTATTTATAAGCCTTATTATTATCGTCGATAACTTCTATTAATATCGATTATATAATATTTTATAGAAAAACTCGTTAATATCGAATTAGAGTTTTTAGCGTTTACGATTCGATTCGATTTAATTTAATTCGAAAGCTCTCGATTAATTATATCGCGCTATTCTATAAATCTTCTATTCGCTTAGATATAGATTCGAAAATTATTACTATTTACTCCTACGCCTATAAATACTATTTTTATTATACTATATCGATTTTCTTCTAATTAGACTTTTTATATATACTTATATTTTAGCTAGTAACGTCGCTAAGACGTAAGTATAAAGAGTTATTATTATTCTTAATATTTCTTATAGAGAAAGATATAATGCTATAGATCTCGAATACGATTATTTCTTTATTACTTTTACTATTTTTTAGGCGTTAAGCGTATATATATATTTATTTTTCTATCTTTCTACTTATTAATTATGAAATATAATTTTATAAAGAAGAGAAGTAGTATTATAAGCGTATTCTATATTCTTAATATACTACTTAGCCCCTACTTTATTCGGGCCTAGCGTGTCTTAGTAGAGGCATTTCATCTACTACTTGATATCTCTCTTCTATCTATATAGTTCGATATCTTAGTTATCTTATTTAACATACCTATATTAATATTACATCTATACTCGGTCCTGATAATCTTTGTTCTTTGTAGCTACCTAAATTTAATGAAAGGTACAGAGGTCTGCACCGAAAGTCCTACACCCGCCAAGACTCTTGCGCTCAGACTTCGGATAACGCCTCACCTAAAGGGCTACCTGGACAATGCGTCTGAAGTTCTTCGGAATCGCATCTAGCCCTAGCCAGGTTTCGGGGCTTAATACCCCTATCAAGCCAAAAGAAGTATCTAAAGTCCCATCCATGCGCTGTGAGAAGATATTTCTAGGCTTTCCCTCTATAGGGCCGCTTTCCGAAAGTAGGGTTAGGGCTGCACTAGTGCGGGTGCAGGACTTTCGGTGCAGACCTCTGTACTCGTATAATCCAGAAGTGAGCTACTTGATAGAGGGAGGACACCAATAGATTTTTCCACTTTAGCGGGATGTCGCTTGATCTATTGGTGTCCTCGCTCTATCAAGTAGCTCACTTTCTGGATTGTACGAGTAGACGTTTTGGTATTACGTCGGATTTATCGGATTTTAGAGCGTGCAGATAGGGAAAATGGGGGTGGAAACGAGTGATCTCCATATCAATACACGCCCGCACCACCCTGTGCGGCAAGACAACAGTCGACCTATCCAAGTTGCATTCAGCCATAAATTGCCCACAAAAAGCATCAATGTCGGGAGACCTGAAGGCATCAGATGCCAAAGTCATATCGACTGAACCATTGGTATCTTCAACCACAATTGTCCCGTGCCCCAGCTAATGAGAGCAGATGATCAAAGATGCCCGCTGGACAAAGCTCGTCTTGTACACTACGTATAAAAAAATTCCACAATAAATGCTTTCTTACTATGGTTTTAGGACAACATATACCGATCCATTGGGTAAACGGCGAACCTGGGAGTCTGCCGAACGCTCTACACGGCCTAAAAACTCTCCGATTGATGGAGTTGGCATTGTAGCTATCCTACAAAAGCCATCAGGCCCTGAACTCCTATTGCAAAAGCAGTTTCGTCCTCCTATCAATAAAGTGGTTATTGAAGTGCCCGCAGGCCTTGTCGATGAAGGAGAAACTGCAGAGGAGAGTGCGGTTCGGGAGTTGAGGGAGGAGACCGGGTATGTTGGAATCGCGGCGGAGGTCTCACCCGTTATGTTCAACGGTGAGTCTTAACCAGGTTTTCCCGACTTTGTAGAGGGGAAGATGTCTCAACCACAACTCGTTTTTAGACCCTGGGTTTTGCAATACGAACTTGAATATGGTCCATGTCAATGTCGATATGTCGCTACAAGAAAATCAAAATCTTAAGCCCGAGCTGGAAGAGAACGAGTTCATCGAAGTCTTCTCGACCCCACTGAAGACGTTATATGCCGAATGCAAACGTCTAGAGGCAGAGGGTTACGCCATAGATGCAAGGGTGGGAACGCTTGCTGAAGGTATTGAGGTTGCGAGGAGATGGAAGCTACAGTGATTATGACCTTTTGGTAAGATAACACGAGACCACAAATGTCGGCCGTGCCGGGTATCAGAATGGTGAGGTGGTGGACCATACGCCTAGCAAAAGCATAGAAAAAGCCCTTCGTGGCGAGACAAATTTGTGATGAAGCTTTACACATGCACTTACCTTCAGATCCTCCAGAGATGCCATTGTTGACGGGGCATGCCTCTTGCTCTTTCGAACTAGGTATGCACCGTAACGCTCCAAGCGCAGAACAAGATTTTCAGAATCTTTGTAGCTCGAAAACGCTCTCCTCGCTCATGTACTGTATGTACTTTTACAATCCCATTGTTAGTGAGATTTTCAGTGTACGACGCATCGCGCGTGAATTATTTTCAAAATTCCCGCCGTAGTTATTGGAAGCCAATAAGTTGTGGGTTCCCAAAGTCTTGGCGATCATTATCTTGGCGATCTAAGATCAAACTCTGGGCAATCAAATTCTTGGACAGAGACATCGCGAATCTTTACCATCTCTTCCTCGGTTTTCAACAGCAATGCATCTTTGCTACACTCCTAGTCATTCAATTCTCCCTGTATGATCTCCCACCACCTCCAAGTCATGTCTCATATACATGATACCCCCCCGCCATCCTCCCCAAGTCTGCCTACCTCGATTTCCTCTCCACCCTCACCTACAATCATCAAACCCACAGAGCTGTCACCAAAAACTCTCCGTCGAATGCTCCACCACGAATCGGATGTCTTGATCGTCGGAGCTGGCATCCTCGGCACTGCCCTTGCCATCACGCTTGCCCGTCCCCCACACTCTCGCTCCGTGACCCTCCTCGAAAAATCTCTTAAAGAGCCCGATCGGATTGTCGGCGAACTTTTGCAACCTGGTGGTGTCTCTGCGTTGAAAGATCTAGGTCTAGAGGAGTGTTTAGAGGGGATTGATAGTGTGAGGGTCAAGGGGTATGAGGTCATATATTACGGGCAAGGGGTCGAGATTGGGTATCCGGGCAATACTGTTGGGAGCCAGAGGTCAGAGGGTGATGTGGCGGGAGGGAAGAACCTGAGACGGGAGGGAAGGAGTTTTCACCACGGCAGATTTATACGAAGATTAAGGGAATTGGCTACGAAAGAACAGAACGTATCGGTTGTGGAGAGCACAGTCACGGAGGTAGTCAAATGCGAGCACACAGGTCACATCCTGGGCGTGCAATGCCTGAACAGCTGCGGGAAAAACGTCTATTTCGGCCAATTGACTGTTCTAGCGGACGGGTATGCTAGCAAATTTCGGAAGCAGTATATCTCTCGGTCCGTCGTTAGCAAAAGTCGATTTTGGGGCTTGGAACTTATCGATGCTGTCTTGCCGAAACCACTGCATGGGCATGTGCTCCTCGGAGACGGCGCGCCAGTGCTGCTGTACCAAATCGGATCAAGAGAAACAAGGGCTCTGGTTGATGTGCCCGAGGGTTTGGATACTGCCAGTACGAAGAACGGTGGCGTAAAGAGACATCTGAGAGAGGTGGTCTTGCCAAGCTTGCCAAAGTGCGTGAAGCCCTCGTTCGAGAGAGCACTGGACGAGGGCAAGCTGAGAAGTATGCCAAATTCGTTCCTGCCCCCGAGCGTCAACCGGTTTCCTGGTATGGTGATGCTAGGAGACGCTATGAACATGAGACATCCCCTGACTGGCGGGGGGATGACCGTCGCATTCAATGATGTGGTGCTGTTGAAGGAGTTATTGAGCCCAGAAGTGGTGCCGGATTTGGGGAACACTAAGCTTGTGTTAAAGCAGATGGAAAAGTTTCACTGGAGGAGAAAGGGGTTGACGAGTGTTATCAACATACTCGCACAGGCACTGTACTCTCTCTTTGCTGCAAATGGTATGTATGCGAGGCCTCGATGTTGATCAGCACTGATGTTAGTCTAGATCCTCAACTCAAGGCTCTGCAGCTGGGCTGTTTCCGTTACTTTCAATGTGGCGGCCAATGCGTCGATGGTCCAGTCGGACTGCTTGCCGGTATTATTCGCCGGCCACTTCTGTTGTTCTACCACTTCTTCTCTGTCGCACTGCTCTCGATATGGCTAGTCCTCTCGGAATCGCCTTTGTACAACATGCCTCTGACTCTAATATCGAGTGTCAGCATACTCTATAAGGCTTGTGTGGTGCTGTCTCCATTCGTTCTTTCGGAGCTCAAAAACTAGCACGAAAACGCATAAAGGACACTGATTCGAAACTTCTCTAGTCGCTGGCCTGATGATGTACATACTGCATCCTACATCTGATAGTGGTACAGCGATAGCATTGTATACTATATTGAGCTTTCTTGCTTTACTCAGCACAAACAGAAACTGGTTGACGACCTACAGGATCGTTGTAGTCTGCTCTATTCCCTGCCAGGTTTTACTTCGGCATTCGAGGTCGAAAAATATCTTTCACGATGGTTCACATCCTGCAGGGGCCGAAGCCGAAACCCCTAAGAAAATGACCCTAGTGCGTGTCAACGAGAACCCCCGACAGATGGGCCCTTTTGGATAACCCGGCCAATTGAATTGGCTCTTGATGTGTTATGACTGGCATTCTCGTGATTGAGCGACACGTTGGAACCTCTTTTCAACTTCGTTGCACACGTCGAGAGATGAAAACTCTACCTAGCTTGACGAAGTGGTTTCTGTTGAATGCCAGCCCTCTTCTATGTTGAAATTCGGGTCCGTGCCTCTTGGCACCAAGGCGCGCCTATATCAAGTCGCTCTTTCCTTTTATAGAACTTTATAATTAATATAACTAAAGATCTTACTTTATATTTCTATAGATTATAAATCTAAGCTTTATTTAATAACTACTATATTATAACTATTATTTATATCTATAGTTATAACTATTTTAATCTTTTAATATTTACGAGTTTAAGTTTATAAATTAAATTTATAATCTATTTTTTTAAATTAGAGCTATCGAGTAAATTTAATAAGCGATATTTATTAAGCGATATTTGAAATTCTTTATTTCTAAATAATTATAAGACTAAATTCTATAATTTTTAAATCGTTAAAATACGAAGTTTACGCTTTATCGATTTTTTTAAGAGAATTAAAAAAGTTATTTCGAATTTAAATAATATATATCTATTTTTTTCTAAATTAAAGCTATCGAGTAAACTTTAATAAGAGATATGGAAATTTCTTACTTTTAAATAATTATAAGATTAAACTTTATAATTTTTATATTATTAAAAAGCGTAAACTACGATCTATAATGAAAATTAAAAATAATTTTTTTAATAGAAATTAGTAAAGTTATTAAATAGTTAAAAGTAGAATAAGAGATTTTAATAGTTATTATCGAAATATATTATCTAACTAAATTAAAAGATTAGTTAAGACGAGAAAGATTTATCGAGACTTAATAATATATATATTTATAATACTCTTTATAATTAGATCTAATTAATTAAGTATTTTATTTATTACTTTTAATAGATTATAAGTCTAAATTATAGAATATTTATTTAATATATTACTTATAAGCCAGCTAGCTTATTAATTAAGTATTTAAAAAATAGAGAAAAGCTTTATTATAATATTATATCGCTTAGCGATATTATTATAATATTAAATATCTAATTAATTTACTTTAAGATAATTTAATAGTACTTTTTAAGCTTCATTAACCTCTAAATAATAAGTTATACTTATTATATAATAATTATAACTCTTATAAAGATCTTACTATTACTATTTTTAACTATTATATTAAAAAATAAGAAATTAAAATAAAGAGCTTAAGTATTAAGTTAATTAAAAATTTTGTTATATTAATTAATTAGTTAAGCGCTTTAAACGATAATAAGAAATTAAAATAAAGAGCTTAAGTATTAAGTTAATTAAAATTTTTATTATATTAATTAATTAGTTAAGCGCTTTAAACGATATTAATTTTATCTATAAAACGCTAAATCTATAAATAGAAATAATATAATTATAAAAGAAGTAGTATATAAAAAAATATTTTTATTTTTTAATCGAAATATAGTTATTTTAGTTAAATAGATTATAATAAAATACTATTATATTAATACTATTAATCGCTTAATTAACGAGTTATTAAATTAATAATCAAATATTTAGCTAATAAAGAATATAATTATTATATAAGATAAAGAATATAAAAAGTTTTTAAATTTTTTATTTAATATAAACTCTATATCTATCTAATTATCTTTAAATCTAATTATATCTTAAAAAAATTCTTTATCTAATTATATTAATTAAGATAATATTATATACTCTAAATATAATTATATATTAACGTCTTCTCTTAATTAAGATAATATTAAATACTTTAAATATAATTATTTATTAATATTCTTCGTAATTTAAAATAAACTTAAAAATTATTATAGATTATATACGTTTATTATACCTTTAGATATTCTTTAAAAATAATTTTATATATTATATAATAAAGTACGCGCGGGTAGATATATCTTTAAGCGCGATTTTTCTCGATATAAACTAATATTAAATAAAGTTTAATATTAATTTAAAAAGCGTTTAAAAAGTTAAGAATATAATTATATATCTATCTATTTCTCTAATAACTCTATAATTCCTAATAATTTAACTCGCGAGTTATTTCTCAAATTAATTAATAGCGAGAATCTCTTTAATATTATTATATAATCTATTAAATTTAATTCTCTTATAAGCTCTTAATTTCTTTATACATCTGCAAATCTGAAAAGTTCCTGCAAAATTTGAAATTGCTGATCGCGCGTTTGTCGCGGAAATTACAAAATCCGTTGAATTAGTAAATCTAATTAGAATCCGTCTAAATTCTATCGATTTAGTAAATCTAATTAGAATCTATCTAAATTCCGCCGATTTAATAACTATTTTAATCTTTTCTATTAGTTCTATTAGTTTAGTAGTAATATATATAAAAAAAGAAAAGTTCTAATAATCGACGTTGCGATAATAAGATTTTACGATAATAAATATTAACGCTAACTCAAATTTGACTACGAAATTAAATAATTTAATAAAATTAGTTATATAAGTAATACTCTAATATAACGTATAATAATACGTATATTAATAATAATATATATTAATATTATATATATATAGAATAATACTTAGAGTATATTAAAGTGTATTACGTAAAATTTTTAAAGTTACTAAAAATTTTTAAAGTTGCTAAACTAATAGAACTAGCGGAAAGAATTAAAATAGTTATTAAACCGACGGAAAGGATTGGATATAGACAAAGTCTGCTAAATAGGCTAAATCGTGCTTATGGTACGGACCCGGCGGAAATCGTACGGAAAGGAACTTTTCAGATTTGCAGATATACTCTAAATAATATATTAAAGTTAAAGCTATAAATCTTAAATTATCTTTTATTATAGTAAAATTTTTCAAATAATAAAAAACTTTTAAAGAAAAAAATCGAACAAGAAAAGGCCCCAAATTTAAATTCTTGGGATTTTTCTTTTTTTTTTTTTTAATTAAAAGGGGGTGGATTTTTTCTAAGTCAAATCGAATTTTAGCCCTAGCCCTAAGTCAAATCGAACTCTGATCGCTTGCTGTGCGTTTTTGACCTACTTCCACCACTACAAAATTGATTTAATCTATGTGGTATACAGGCACATATGTGCGGAGAGAGGCGCGCTAAGGCCTATTTGGAAGGTGTATTAAGTGTGAAGGATTGATCCGTAATAATTGCCCATAAAAAACAGAGAAAGGCCATGTCCTTATGGCAAGAAGTATCGAAATACCGGAAAGAAATGGAGACAACGTGCCAATTAGTGGTGTGAATCCCACAATATCTCCTGCCGCAGTGAAATCTTTCGAATAATGAAATAGCTGTAGACATCGGACGGTTTCAATTCGTCCAAATATGCATCGTTCAATGTTCCTCCTGCAGAGGCCTAATTGGCTGTGATCGTCGCAGTAGATCCTCCTCTTGTGACGTTATTGATGTACCATATGAATGCAGTGGGGATGATAGGCCAAGTTGCAGTGGGGATGACAGGCTAAGTTGCAGTGGTGTTCTCCGCTTGCTGAGTGATGATTTGATGTGGAACCGTGGAGAGCATATAACGTGGGATCTTGGAGAGCTGAGCCGTGTTCTTGGTGCTGGGGGCCTTATTGCCGCTTGGTTTCTCCGCAGTGTTCTCCGCATTCGCCTGCTATCGTGACTTCTCTTACCCTGGCTAAGTGGATTGGTGTGAGACCGTGGAGAGTAGGCCTATTGTGTCACTGCTGCTGATGACTATCTCCGCAGTGTTCTCCGCAGTGTTCTCCGCATTCGCCTGCTGTCGTGACTTCTCTTGCCCTGGCTGAGTGGATTGGTGTGGGATCTTGGAGAGCTGAGCCGTGTTTTTGACGATGGTGGCCTTGTTGCCGCTTGGTTTCTCCGCAGTGTTCTCCACATTTGCCTGTTGTAGTTCCTCCTCTTGCTCCTCCTCTTGTAGAGTATTAGACTGAGTGGCTAGCTGAGTGGCTGACTGAGTGGATGACTGATATGACGTGGGATCTTGGAGAGCTAAGCCGTGTTCTTGACGATGGTGGCCTTGTTGCCGCTTAGTTTCTCCGCAGTATTCTCCGCATTTACCTGTTGTAGTTCCTCCTCTTACTCCTTCTCTTGTAGAGTATCAGACTGAGTAGCTAGCTGAGTGGCTGACTGAGTGGATGACTGATATGACGTGGGATCTTGGAGAGCTGAGCCGTGTTCTTGACGATGGTGGCCTTGTTACCGCTTGATTTCTCCGCAGTGTTCTCCGCATTTGCCTGCTGTCGTGACTTCTCTTGCCCTGGCTGAGTGGATTGGTGTGGGATCTTGGAGAGCTGAGCCGTGTTTTTGACGATGGTGGCCTTGTTGCCGCTTGGTTTCTCCGCAGTGTTCTCCACATTTGCCTGTTGTAGTTCCTCCTCTTGCTCCTCCTCTTGTAGAGTATCAGACTGAGTGGCTAGCTGAGTGGCTGACTGAGTGGATGACTGAGTGACTGGCTGACGATCTAACTGAGTGGATTGCTGGGCTGATAGGGTAGGTAGTGTTGACTGAGCGGCTGGTCGAGTATCGCTGGCTTGGGAGGAGTATGTAGGGGAGGACGATGGCTATGAATCCGTTCGGGCTCTTTTTGAGGGCCTTCCAACGCGTTTATGAGTAGGATGGTATATGGGTAACGCGCGGTGTAGCTGGGTGGGCTGGGGGCGTCAGTAGGGGCTCTAAGAGGCGGGCAAAAGGGGTGTACGTGCCTGAAGCGTTTAGTAACGTTTCCGCGAGGGGTACCGAGGACGATTGTGTTCATATTGGTGGAATTGATAGAATTGGTAGAGTGGTGGAAGAATAATGGTTACACAAACAAACAGGTGGAAGGATTATTATTATCCGATCCCGGACGCGTTTGGTGTGACTACCATATTTGAATGTCCATTTAATCCACCAATAGTAGGCCAAACTTCATAATTTTTACAGCGTTAGAAAGCGCAAACTGAGCTCTATAATTTACGAAATTATGAAGTAACAGCATCCGTAGGGAGCTGGTTATTTCAGAGTGTAAAACTTCTACACACAAATTTTTGATGAGGGAGCTCGGGAGGGCTAGCGGGCTGACTCAGCCGGTCTAACTAAAGAGCGTAGTGACCCTGAATTTATGATTGGCTGCACATACAAATTCAAGGTTTTCTAGCTCAGCCCTACCTTATTCTTTTATATATACTGATAATTTTAATTCGTCTAAATATATATCGTTCGATATTTCTTCTATAGAGACTTAATTAACTATAATTATTATAATAGATTCTTCTCTTATAATATTATTATAATAATAATATATTATATTAATATAATAGAAATAATAAATTAAGTTATAATAGTATTCTTCGCTTATTAAGTAATAATTTAATATAAAATCGTAGAGAGTATATAATATAAGATCTTAAAGAGCTAAGTCGTATTCTTAACGATAATAGCTTTATTATCGCTTAATTTTATTGAAATTCGAATCACGTAACTCTTAGCGTCTTGGCGGTCACGTGACTACGTCACGTGACTACGTCACGTAACACGTCTTAGCGCGTTTATATTAAATTACTCTTTTCTTTTATAGAACTCTATAGTTAATATAACTAAGTATCTTATCTTTATATTTTAATAGATTATAAATTTAGATTATATTTAATAACTATTTTAATAATAGTATAATCTATCGCTATAGTTACGATTATCTTTAAATATTTATATCTATTATAATAAAGATAATTATAACTATAGAAGACTTTATTAACCTTCTTAATATAAGAAATTTTTATTTTAAAATAGTTATTTTAGACTTAAATAGCTATAATTCGCTTATAATTTAAAGGCTAAAGACTATTATTTAAGCGCTTTTACTTTCTAATTAAAATAATATAAAGCGAGTTAAGATATATTATATCTAATTAAAACTATCGAAATCGCTATATAACTAATTAAATTATATTATTATTAAGATCTCTAAAATATTACTAGCTTTCTTATATAAAATACGCTAAATAAAAAGATAATACGCTCTTATTTATATATTATAAACACTAAAGAATTAGATAATAAGTATTTAGACTTTATATTTATTTAATTATAAAATATTTATAATAAAGATTAAAAACTAGCTATTTTAGTTATCGCTAAGAGAAATATAATTTAAAAGAAAATAATTTTAGCTTCGGCGCTAATTACGTAGTTTTTAATTATTATTAATAAAAGTATATTAATTAAAAAAGTAAAAATCTTAACCTCGAAAATAAAAAGAGAAAGAAATCTTTATTATTATAAAGAAGCCTCGATGTAAATATTTATTTTAAAGATAAAACACTTTAATAGTAAGTAAATAACCTTATAATCGATCTCGATCTCGAACTTCAATTAAATTAATTCTAGAGAAAATAATTAAAGCTTTTAATTATTAAAATAATTAGTATAATTCTAGTAATATAATATTATATCTATATATAAGAGATAGACCTCTATTATTATAATATTTTTAAACTACTCTAATATCTCTAAAATTTATTAATTTTTTAATTTTTTAATAAAATATTATTCGCTATTTCGAGTATTAATAGATAATAAATCTCTATAAATAAAGATTTAAGCTATATCGAGTTAATCTTAAAGCTTAATAAGACTTCTCTTATACGTTTAAATCTTTAATATATTATAAAGAATATTCTAATAGCGAAAATAAATATATATTAAATTTTCTTATTAATTTTAATTTAATATTAAAGTAATTAATTTCTAAGTCTCTATTAAAATTAATCTTTAATAAAGATTTCTTTAATTTTTAAGTGTATTTAATTTCGTTAATACTATCTATCTTAACTATTTCTTTAAATTCTATTAATATATAAACTCTATTTTTAAATTTAAGCTTTAATAAAGCGAGCTTATTTAATTATCTAATTTATTCTTTAATAAAAAAAGCTTATTAAGTCTCTAAATATTATATCTTTTAAAATCTAAAATTTTAATCTTTTTAAGCTATTTTAATAATATTAATAAGTTTAAAAATATTTTTAATTATTAAATTTAGAAGTAATAATTCGAGAATAAATTAAAGCTACTTCGATTATAATATTATATTAAAAAAAACTATATAAAATTAATTATTAATATTATTAATATTAAAGCTTAGATCGATAGCTAGTTATAGATATAAGATTAAATCTATATTATATTAAAATCGCGCTATAAAAAAAACTTATATTCTAAAATTAAGAATAAAATTAATATTAAAGAAATTTAGAAGACTTTAAATAAGTTTAAACTCTAAAATTTAAATATTCTTAATTTTATATTTAAAAAAATAAATAATATTACTTTTACGAAGTATAATAACGACCCTTAATTCTATATTAATAGATTTATAAAAATTCTAAATAAGGTTAATAATTTATTCTTAAAATTAAAATTTAATAAAAATTAAAAGATTTATCGCTTTTATTTAAGTTTAGATTTTTTATATAATTTATATTATAAATAGTATAATTAAAATTATAATATCTTTAAAAATAATAATATCGCAAAATTTAATTCCGATTATTTAATTTATTAATATTATAATTAATTCTATTAACTTAATTAATATTAAAGCTTATATACTAGCTATATTAATTAATAACTTCTTTATATATAATTTATAAAGCGTTATTATATTAATTATTATTAATAAAACTATCGAGTATAAGATTTAATAAAAAATCTATATTAATAACTCTTATACTTATATTTAAACTTATAAATATTATAATTATTATAAAAAAAACTAATATAATAATATTAAATATATTATTTTATATTTTAAATTTAAGAAATAAAATAATTATAATAGTAGAAGAGATTACGATAATTATAGAGATCGCGATAATTATAATAATAAAGATAATAATAAAAAAAGTAATAATAATAATTTCTCTAGCTCGAGTAATAAAGATAAAAATAAAAATATTTAAATTAATAAATTTATTATTAATTATTAGTTTAATAATATTAAGATTATTATAATATATATTTAATTAGCGATAATATATAATTTTATAATATATATTAACTCTAATTTAAAGGATATTATATATTTTATTACTAATTCTTAATTCTTATAAAATTAAATTTATTATTTCTTTATTAAAAAGAGTCTAAAGATTATAATTTAAATTTCTTTAATATTTATAATTATTATATTATCGTATTTATAATTTATTAATAATATTTATACTTAATATATTACTTATAACTTCTTAATTTTTTAAATCTTGATTTTATTTAAATTATATTATTTAATTAATAAAGTTAATAGCTTAATTATAATTATTAATTTTAAATATATTAAATTTAAATATAAAGATTTTGAAAGTAAATAAACTCTATATATAAAAGATATCTAATATATTCTTAATAGTGATTTTAATTTAATTTCTTAAAAGTAACTCGAAGATTAAAATTATTCTTTTTAGCTTATATTTAAAAATATTAGAATAAAGAAATATAATATTATTTTTAGATATTAGCGTAATTATCTTTATACGCTAAATATATAAATAAAGACTCTTATATACTTAGTAATTATTAATAAAAATATCTCTATCTATAATAAGTTTATTATATTTATATTTATATTTAAATTTAAATTCTTATTCTTATTTATTAATACTCTAAATTCTTAAATTAATAAAAAAATCTTATATATATAATACGCTTATTATAATTATTTAAGATTTTAGAATTTTAAAAAATTAATTAAAATATATATTAAAGTAAATTTATCTATTTTATCTTTTAGAGATATATATAAATTATTCTTTCAGGGGTGTCGCCGACGACGATGATATATTCTGAGGGCGCTGGCAGCGGCGTCTTATTGGTAGTGCTCGAGTTTATATGTGATGCCTTAACGTAATAACTCTAAGGGCTTAGTATTTAAGGAATTCAGCTATAGACTCTCAGCCATTTTTTAATAAAGTACTTTTATACCTCTATTAAATATTTAAAAAGAATAAAATAATTATATAATAGATAAAGTCTTTTTATTATTCTAATAAACTACTTTACTTAATACTTCGCTATTACTATATTACTCTCTAAAATATATATATATTATAATATAAAAAACTTTTTTATTAGAATAAAGTAGTTAAAAGGAGTAATAATTAGAATCTAAAAACTAAGAATCCCGTTAGAAGATATATTTTAAAAAATTTAAATTAAAATATAATATAGATAATTAATATATTATATTAATTATTAATATAACGCTATAATATTAATATCTAATTCTATTAAGATTATTATAAAAAAGTTTTCTCTAAACTAATAATTTAAAATTATTAATTAATAATTTATTAAGAATTAGTTAAATAATAAAGTAATATAAGAGAAAAGTATATTATTAGAGCGTAATTTATTTTTAAATAAGTTATAATCTAATAGTAAAGTAGATTTAATATCTATTAAATTCCGCTAATCTTTTCTTTTTTATTATAAAAAATATCTTAATTTAAACTCTTTAAAGAGATAGATTACTAATAAAGAGAATATTAATTAATATATATTAAAGAAGTAAAAGAGAAAGAAGTAAAGAAGAGTTAAGAAGAATAAATAATATAAGAAGAGATAGAGAATAGTAGAGGAGTTAAGATTAAGGAAAAAAAACTCTTTTTAACTTTATAAATTTTATAAATAAAATTATTAATCGTAAGACTACGATAGACTAATAAAAAAAAATCTTTTATCTTTATCGCTCGAAATATTAATCTTTAAATAAAGATGAGT